AAAAGTAAAAAGTTATGATCCCAAATCTGAAAGTAGTTCTAGATATACTAAAGAACATCCTGCTAAACTTGGGGATCCTGAAAAATAGGATGAAAATTTTAATAGAGCTTGATTCTAGATCACAAAGGATCCTATCACATGTAGTGAGAGAAATTATATAGCACCATTCACAAACTCGGAGATTCCACAAAGTATAAGAGCTTATAGGTCTGACAACTTCAGTGGGCTTGCCATATGCTGTATACTACTTCAGTTAGATTATCAGCGTACTATTATTAACTTACTATCATGGTGTTGAAGTTCAAGGAACAACAGTGTATGGTGTGAAAGGGAGCACTGCCCTTATAAAACTAAGTGTAGTGAATGAGAAATATGACCAAACTGCACTTGCTGAACAGTTCTAGTTTCACCTGAAGATTATATGCTCAGTGTGTAAGGATTCTTCACCTCTATTTGTGATGTCTATCAGTTTTAATCACTTCAATTTATCTTATCTTCAATAATGTGGGTTTCTAGTCATACTCATTCATAGTTATTTTCTATTATAACTTAAACATTTATCATAGAGCAGTAATAGAAACCTGAATTTTATTTTTTCAGAGTAGGAATGGCTTATTGGAGAATAGGAATAGCTCCTGAGAGACAGAAAGGGTCCAAATGGGCTGCCACTCAGAAATCTGAAAATTTAATTATTTGTTTATTTATTTGGTATAGGGTCTTGCTACATAGCTCAGATTCATAGTGATATTCTTGTCTCAGCCTCCCTAGTGCTGGGATTACAGGCGTGAGCCACCACGCCTGGCCTAAGTGGCCGGCACAGCATCCAGGGCCAGCACAGTATGTGGTACTGGGGACTGAACCTGGGTCCTTGTGTTTGCCAGGCAGGTGCTTAGACCGCTGAGCTATTTCCCCAGCCCCAGAAATCTGAATTTTTAAAACTACTATAATCCCAATACAATATTTTTATCATCTAAGTTTTTGTCCTTATTCAAATACAGATACACTACCAGTTTCATAATCATTACTAAAAAGCATTTTACATTATCCTCCTTTTATTACAGGCATTTCCTCTAATTCACTACACAACTTCATAATTTTTATTTTATTCTGTGGCTGGCTCAGCCCAGGTGGGGCTGGCACAGCATGTGGTGCCAGGGACTGAAGCACAGTCCCTGCACTTTGCCAAAGCTTGCCTAAACAGGCACTTTAGGCTACTGAGCTATCTCGCTGGCCTCGCATAATTTTAATTTTTAGCATCTATCCTGAGAGAATGCCATCATAATTCACTCCTATTGTAGGTATTAATATTCCCTTTTGTTTCCTATCCCAGATAATACTAAAATATATGTATAAAATAGTCCCTTCTCTCGGGTTACTTCTGTAAAATAAATAAATAATCTCTGTGAAACTACTGAGTCTTATGACTTCAATATTCCTGGGGATTATATTTTTTTCTTTTTCTTTTTCTTTTTTTTCAGAACCAGGGATTGAACTCAGGTCCTTGCACTTGCCAGGCAAGCGCTTATTCTACTGAGCTAGCTCCCCAGCCCCAACTTCAATATTCCTATGGCTTTTAATAGGGACTACATTCCCAATTTGTTTTCCAAGTAGGATTTTCAAAAATAAACTTACATTGAGAATTCACTCTTTGAAAATATAAAAGTAGTAAAATAATCACTGAGTGACAATAGTGTCAACATTAACAGTTAATTAGTCACGATGATACAAAAAGTTTACTGCTGCTCTAGTGACAGGGAAATGTTACTGACCCATAAGCTCAAAGTGCAGTTGTGTACATTCTACACACAATTCTAATCAACTACCTGCTTAAATAGAGCTCCTTTTTATAACATGCACTATCTATTAAATTTTGAGACTGTGCTTTTCATTTATCTTTTTTTGATGTGGCACTCTTATTGTATTATCCAGGCTGAGCTCAAACTCGAGCACAGAGTAGGATTATAGTATGTGCTACTGTACTTGGTTTGTGCATATTTTTAAATGGGTAAATACATCGACCGCCATCTTGAAAACAGTATTAAAATTTAATGTATAGATAGAATGATAAAAGGTCCCAAATTTCACTTTTCAATTCCTAATAAAATTATTAACTTTAATGATGACTACCAAACAGTGTTAAAAATATTATGTGTTAAAAAACACTAGCAATAGCACCAAATGCTAGTGAAAGTTTAACTCAAGGATAGAACAACTGTTTAACCATGTACAAGGATTTAATTGCTGGCACCAAAAAGCAAAACAAACAAAAAACCACAGAATTCTGGAAAAGAATTGACTATTCACAGCTTGCTACACCTCAGATTACTTTCTCATCTACAGGAAAACAAAATTCTACAATGAAAGAATCAAGATGTTAATCACCCTAGTTAGGAATCAGTGTTAGTGTCACTACCATGGAATAACTAGAAATTAGTTTTCTGTTAGGATGCCATGTAAGTACACAGTCATCTGCTGTATCCAGTGGAAAATGCTGAACTAGAATCTACGTTAGAGTTTACAACTAAGTTGGAGCTTATGGGAAAAAAAGGAAGTCTTGTTAAAGTCACATAATGTAAAAATGGACTGTTACACATCGAAGTGGAATTGGAGGGGCCGGGGAGATGGCTCAGTGTATTCCACTGTGCCAAGTGCAAGGGCCTGAGTTCAATCCCCAGTTCCGCCATAAATAAATAAATAAATAAATAAATAAATAAATAAATAAATATAATTTTTTTAAAAAATGGAATTGGGAAAGTAACAACTAAATATAATGTATGGTCCTGGACTGAAACCTGCTTTAGGTAAATAAGACAGAAATTTTAAGGCATGGAGAGAAATCTGATGAAGTCTATATCTGTAACCTCCTTTAGGATATTTCAGCATTAATGAGTTTAAAAATACAAAGACAAATGAAGAACATTACCTAGCTGTAATTTAAAATTCTTCCAAGACATCTTTAACCAAGGTTAAAATTTAATAATCAAAATTTTTGTCTCCTTTTTTCAGCTGAGACTTTTAATCTTTTCTTTTTTTGGTATCAGGAATTGAACTTAGGACTTTGTGCTTGCCACGCAGGCTCTTGTGCCGCTGAGCTATATCACTAGCTCAACCAAGACTTTTAGGAATACAAAACTCATGGTTGAATACTTCTCATCTTGGTCTTCTAAATGTCTACCATTTCTAATGTTTTATCAATTATTATATTCTTTAAAATAAATTTTTTGAAAAAAGGCAAGGAAAAAAGATTTCTTGAAAGCAAGCATTAATATTGAATTATTCATCCAATTTTGCATAACTATATCTGTTAATCTGAGCAACAGACTTGATAATAAAAATAACATGATAACCATTGCTAATTAGCTATGCCTGTTTTGAGAATCTGTAACGTATGTATTGTATGTTACCCTGTTTCTGGTTTTTGGTTTTTTGTGTTTTTTTCGGTTCAGGACCTAGCTATGCAGCTCGGACTCATAGTGATCCTCCTGTTTCCAGCCTCCCCAGTGCTGGAATTACAAGTAAGCATCACCACACCTGGTCTCGGTGGCCAGCTCAGCATGTCCAGAGGCAGGGCCAGCTCAGCATGTGGTGCCAGGGATCGAACCCCAGTCCCTGTGTTTGCCCAAGCAGGAGCTTAGTCCGCTGAGCTATTTCGCCAGCCCTTATGTCTTTTTCCTTATTTCTTTTTGCTTCTGTTTTTACTCTTCAAAATAAAATAAAATTAATGTCTTTTTAAAAAGACTTTTAAATACAATGACTTTTTTTAAAAGGATGTGTGAACTTACCCCTGGCATATATTCCATAAATATAGAAAGTGTTTTTTCTTGGGGATCCCTCAAACAGCCATAATACTGAACAATTCGCTCATGCAATAAGTTTTTCAACAACTGGATTTCACACTCAAGTGCATTCACCTCCTGGAAAACAAAATTCACTGTGAAGTCCTTATAACACTGTTTTTGCAGAAGCAAAAAGTAGTAACTTCAGAAACTATATCAAGGTGACTTCATTCTGAAACATTTACTTCCTAAATAACAAACTATTTTAATGTCTCAAGCTAGTAACTTCTTTTTCTCCTAACTGAGGATTAGACCTAAACCATTCACACTCAGTCCTGTTAAAACTTTTTTACTTATAGACAGGGTGTTGCTAAGTTTCCCAGGCTGGGCTTGAACCTGTAATCCTCACGCCTTAGATTCCCAGAGTGATTACAGGCAGGTACCATCACACTCAGCTATAACCAATAACTTTTTTTTTTTTTTTTTTGCAGAACCGGGGATTGAAAGACCCTTGCGCTTGCCAGGTATAACACCTGGCAAGGTTTGTGTATAGTTGTCCCCCCAAAGCCCCATGCAGTCTTGGGGTGGCTTCTGGAGTTTGTGATTGATTACTGTGGGTGTGGATGCTGCACCTGCCCTGGGGCAGGTAATTTGGATTACAAGGTAAGGTGGGAAGAAAAGCTAGCTGCTTGAGCTGCTGCTACCTCTCCTTTTGCTCTTGCTCTTTGCCTCCACCATGAAAGGCTGCCCTCTGCCTTGTGCTGCTTTGCCTTGGGCCCAGCTAAATATGGACTGAAACCTCCAGTAACTGTGAGCTAAATAAACCTTTCCTTCCTTCAATTTGAGTGTCAGGTATTTGTTCCAGCAACAGAGAAGAGTAACTAAGACACCAGGGAAGCGCTTATTCTACTGAGCCATCTTCCCGGCCCCTACCAATAGCTTCTTTAATAGGACCCAAAGGTATACTGAAGCAATACTAAATCAGACTAACAATACAATTTCAGTACTAAAAAAGAAACATCCACAATACAAAGTAGATAAGTGTATGTAATTATCAAGTTGTTTTGCAAATCATTTGTATTACTCTGTGATTTATTACTGCTTATTGATTTTGCTTATTGCACAGATGGTTCTTAAAATGTGACAAAGCAGACATGTTATTTTTACCTTGCTGGTCTCAGGGCTATCAGGATCAAACTGGACTTGTTTAACAGCCAATTCTCTTCCTGTATCAACATCATAACAGAGGTAGACCCTGCCGAAGGCTCCTTGGCCAAGCAGTTTGCCCAGTCTCCAGTTGGTTGGAGCACGAGGTGCTGAAAAAGAACATTTTCTTAAAATGGAGCAGTTCAATAGTACATGAATGGTTACGTACTAAATAAATAAGTTTGCTGCTAGTAATATCCTTAACTAAACATACTTGGGTACAAGGAAAAGTTATGACTTCCAATTCAAAATGGTCACAATCTTTCAAAATTTTTCCTTTTAGTCAATCTTCTTTTTTTTTTTTTTTTTTTTTGCAGAACCAGGTATTGAACTCAGGTCTTTGCACTTGCCAGGGAAGTGCTTATTCCATTGAGCTATCTTCCTGGCTCCAATCTTCTAACTTTCTAAATTCAAATAAGTTCATATTCACATAATTTATCTTTTCCAACAAGATCCCCGTTATAACATCTTGCACTCAACCTAAGATGTAATTGATTGTAAGATGCATTATTTTTAATCTTCATTTCCATCCTAATAAGAAAAATGTACGTGATCTACAAAATTATAACTTTTACTGAAACTGCTTGGAAAACAGACTGAAAGAAAGGGACTAACTTGCCTTAAGTCTAAGGAAAAACAAGTTCTTCCAGAAGAGAAAGAGAATATAAGCCCTGGCAAATTTGTGGAGGAACACAGATCCATGCTGATAGGTAAGAAAAGACCTCCAAGCACAGACCCATAATCTCAACACTCTGGAGGCTGAGCCAACGGATGATGATGCGTTCAAGGCCTTCCTGCTACACAGAAGGCAGCTCCATTTTCAATACATAAGAGTTGGCATAAGAGTACTGATCCCTTGGGACATCATAGCACACGGTGAGTTCACCTCTAGTCAGTCTCTTCCGTGGATCTACCTGCCCAGCACTCACAGGAACAAATAAGAGAAAACCTCCTTGGAGGTCAAGGCCTGGAAAAAGGAACCTCCCACTATTGTGGGAGAAAAGGCAGAAAGCCCCTCTGAAACCTATTTCCCCAAAGAAATTAGAACACCTAAACTAGTACAAGAAAGGCAGCAAACCCTGTCACCTAGACCGTGAACAAGTGAGACAGACAGACAGACAGAGAGAGAGAGAGAGAGAGAGAGAGAGAGAGAGCGCGCAAATGAGCTAGCAAGAGGGAGCACAGGAGTGAGGGGGGAGAGAAGAGGGAGGGAAGGGGGAGGGAGGGAGGGAGGGAAGAGGAAAAGCAGGGAAGAAACACAATGGATAGAATAGCACAAGGTAACTCTGGAAAAATATAGTGGTAAACAGGGATCATAGCAACAACAAAATCCAAACACAGCTGCTTAACTACTGAGACAATGACACTGTTTCCTACAATAATGGTGTAGACAGAAGAACTGTATCTAATTCCAGGTATAAATTCTATTTAGCTCAGTCTCCACTATCCTACAATAATGTCTGGCTTTCAATGTAACATACTATGATGCAAAAAAAAAAAAAAAAAAAGAAAGAAAGAAAGAAAATGAAAAAGAGAAATTAACATAATCAAGAGAATCATGAAGCTTAAAACAATCACAATTAGGGGCCAGGGAGATGGCTCAGTGGAATAAGCGCTTCCCTGGCAAGCGCAAGGACCTGAGTTCAATCCTTGGTGGTATGGGGGTGGGTGGGGACGGGAATCACAATTAACATATTACAGTTCCAGTGGAAAAGGTAGAACATGAACAAACAAATGAAGAACTTCAACAGAAATGAAGACTGCTGGATACAGTCAAATGGAAAGCTTAGGCTCATAAATATATGTAGCAAGGCTGTGAAAATCAATTAACATTAGAAAGTAATTAGAACCCCCAAAGAAAAAAAATGTTGTGGAAATACTTAAAGAGATACAACTGGGGGTCAGGGAGATGGCTCAGTGGAATAAGTGCTTGCCTGGCAAGTGCAGGGGCCTGAGTTCAATCCCCAGTTCTGCCAAAAAAAAAAAA